ATTTATTTTGTATCATTTTGGTCTAAACTGATCACCAAAACGAATTATCAATTTTAATATATCAAAATAAATAACATAAAACACACTATTAAAATAAAAAAATAGAAAAAAAAAACAAAATATAATATCCTTTCGTAAATAACAAAACAACTTTTTTTAACGAAGTTGTTTTTAAATGAAATTATATATAAAAAAAAAAAATCAAAACCTCACGTGCCAGTGAAAAAAAAAAAACCGAGTCAACTAGCGTAGTTTATTAGGTATGTAATTTTTTATGAGCGCATTAAAGTATATTTTCTTTCCTTATGTTGTTCTTTGTTTAGAAAAAATAGTACATCTGGTAGTACAACTACTAAATTGCAAGTATTATATGATAGATTTTCCTCCTCATTGTTTGTCCCATTCAAAGTGCCAAGTTTTTACTCTCTGAATCCAGCTTCATGCACAGTCATTTTGAGTCACGCGATGGAGGCAGCATTCTTGATAAATTTTACAAAATTTTACAGATGAGCAATTACTAAATAAGATGGTCTAAAAGACAAGCAATCATGGAAGATAATGCAAAAAAAAGTTGCCTTAGCAAGCTGTACTGCAAAATAGCCTAAAGTCCTGGCCACATCGACTTTGCCAACAACGAAATCTTGCAATGACTAACGAGTCATAAAAATCTCTAACTGCGGAAAATGTTTGATATCAAAAGGCAGAATAGAGAAATAAAAGCCCAAAAAAACTTGCTAAACTAGGACACATTTAAAGCAGCACACATAAAGCAACTTTGATTAGAAAAAAGATTAAAATATACCCTGATTTTGGTACAACTTCTTTTCTCCACTTCTCTTCTTTAAAGTGCAGAAGAATCTGAAATGTTGGGAAGGACCAATAAAGCTTTGTGACCCTTGGGCATCAGGAATCAGCAATTTATGAGCATAAAAACTGTACAATTGTCAGCCAAAGTAAAACATCCTTTGGTGAATGTGGATATCCTTAGCATTATCCCAAGCAAGCATATGCCAATATTTCAGTGGTTTATTCCATCTTCTTTGCTATAAAGACTGCTCAACTGTCACACAAACAAACCAGAGACAATTGAAGACACAAGCACCAATTCAAGGTGAAAACTTAAGCAAATCAGCAATAGGGCACCTCTCTCCTGGCAGGTGAAAGGTGAGCATTTTTGGAGCTTCCAAAAGTCAGTGTCAGTAACTTGCCAAAGGAGAGTTGCCCTGTGGCTGGTTTAGCTTAATCTTATAGAATGGTGGCAGATAAAAGGTAATCAAAGATTAATGGAAATGCATTTCATTAGTTTTGGTTTCATGCATCTTAGTTAAAAAAGGTCTCTCTTTTATTTTTTAATTCAAGAACGATGATAAGGAAATATATGCACCAACTCTAATGTGGTTGCACCTTCACAGTTCACACACAACCTGTGAAATGCTGAATACAGAACTTTAATAGAGACAGATCAAAGTTCTGGAATCATTGGCAGAGTAGTTTTATGTTTGAATGCTTCAAAAATAAAAATTTTATTTGGATTGTTTGAAGGGAAATAAAATGGAATCTAGAAGAATTTGCTATACATTTCTTCTCTTCTCTAATTTGAGATGGATGTTATTTCAGCTGGATAAGCTTTCTGCTTAAAACTTGGGAAGAGATATGAGTTAATTTTTTTTATACAAGTTAAAATAACATATTTAACGAGAGATGCAACATGAAAATTCAACAAGTTTTTTTTTTACTATACTTTAAATAACAACAATCCTTGTTTTAGTGTACAATAGGTACGTCTTTTGAAATATTGAAAGACCTTCAAGATAATTTTTTGCATTCTGATAAATTTCATATTATATATCTTCGATATCATATCCAAAATTGTCCATAAGATAAGTTGAACATTTCTAAGTATAATACTTATCTATAAATATGTTTTGCTGAGTACATGTTTGATGTTTTGTTCCTGTGAACTTGTTTTAAAGTTGAAGAAAGAATGAGAAGATGGTTATGCATTGATGAGTATGTATAAGTTTGATTTCAAGTGATGCTCATAGACAAATTCTTCTCTTTTATTCATAAACAAGAATTCTTTTGGTAATTCCCAATTTCAAGCCACATTTAAATATTATTGCCTTTAAACATTTTTTAGATGAAAATGAACAAGATAATTCTTCAACAAAATATATTTAACCAATTACTCATTATATTGATGAGTTTTTTGTACATCGTATTATGAAGATTTGATGATATGGTAGATGGAGGTTGAATATGAGGGATTGAAATAAATAGTTGTCACTAAGAATGTGGTTAAAGTTTGACTCATTTATCCTAATTAGTCATTACAAATTTAATTGAAATCTTCATAGCATAGAATGTGCTTGCACAAGTTGAAAATTATATTTTATATATATCATTATAAGATTGTATTATTTTAAATGATAATTGTTCTCATTCTCTATTGTGATCTTTTGTACATGTTATATTTAAATATCAGCTTAAGTAGATAGATGTGCGAAATATCCCAAATTTTTTTTTGCAAGCATCACTGCATTTTTTTCCATAAACTACTTGGAACACAAACATTATTGACAACTTAGTTATTTTTAAAGAGACAATGTTATCAGTATTAAAATTTGCATTTGATATGAGAACTCCTATCATGCTAGATGAACCAATAGTAGTCACCTTCTACATGTCTCCTACTATTTACCAAAACTTTTTAATCGGTTTGTTTCCACCAACCATATAAATATTTATATAATTGTAATAAGAATAAAAGGAATAAAAATAAATAAAATTTCTTTTTCTTTTATATATCCTATAAAAAATAGTAATATAAATTACTTTTACATATATAAAATATATTTATTTTACTTGCTACTCTTGCCAACTAAAAAAAATTGACACAATAACAATATTAAAAAAAATAGTTCCTTATATATTACTTTCACTATTATTAAATAATTGACTTTTTTTAAAAATTATATTTCTAAATATATATATTCAGTAAAGTTTAAGATAATTATGATTAATCTTTTATCAATTAAAGTACTATCTTTTTAATTATATTTATTACAATAAAACTATGCCAATTTATTAGAGTATATTTTAGATGAAGAAATTATTAAAATAATAAGAATATCAATACAAAAAATTATTAAAAGTAATAAAAATTAATACTGAATTTGTGTAGTTCAACCTTATATTTAAATGTAGAAATAAATAAAAAATTAGGTTAAGAACTTATCTTAAAATTTTAGGAGAAGTCTCAAGGATCTAGAATTTCATGGATACATGACTTTCTAAAAAAATGTCTTAAAATTGATAATTAAAAATTAATTTATGTTTAGATTATTATATCAGTGGATCAAACATAGTATTGCTTGTTCTCCAAGATGAAATTTGTTGGATAGCATATACAATTTTGTGATTCTTTTCCAATAATTACACACACTTTTTATAACATCGACTAGATCCCTTTAACATATTTTTGAACAAGGACATATAAAAATTACGCCATTTATTACATAAATAAAATATTTCATATAATAATGTGTACTATGATAATAACATATAATTAATCTACTTTATTATTCAATTATAATTAATTAATATTATAATTTATTATTTAAAATATCATAAAAAAATATATAAACAATATTATTTATAAATAATTTGATTCTTATTTATAAATCATTATTATTATTATTATTATTATTATTATTATTATTATTATTATTATTATTATTATTATATTGACTTGTACATCGAACTCTCTTTATAAATAAATCTTATTTTTTTTCAAACATTGAATCGATTTGAATCCAATAGATCCAAAAGTTACAATTATCTTGATAAATAATCTCAATTTATTCATTATCGTAAGAACATCTTCCATTATAATTGTATTATTGAACTTTTTTTCCTTTTCTGTATGATCACCCTAATGATATACTTTAATCATTCAATAATACAAAGTTTATCCAACGAATTAATATAATTCAACCCTTAGTATTTGAAAGATAACATAATATAAAACGTCATAAAATTCACTGATATATATTCAACTTCAATCCTCAAAACGTGAGAACTAGCTCTTAGATAATGCCAACTTAAATAAAGACCACTGTTTGAGTCCACTCCACACAACACTAAGATGATAAGGTTTCATCCTTCAACAACACCAATAATCTTTCACCTATTACTTCTTGTCAGAAAATAAAATATTATGGTTAAAAATCTTTTTGTGTTTCCTATCTTAGTTACTTGTATGTCTTTGATAACTAAATCATGACGTCATTTCTAATATTACTTCCTGAAAAAGAGGTCTTATTTTAATCTTTAAGCTATAACTTGTTCAGATTATTAGACTGCAATCTTGGGCTTTGGTCTCTGATAATATATTTATGTTTGTATGAACATCATCTTATAACAAACAAAACTCTTCTCTCATCATTGCCTTTGTCAAACTCATGATTTTCTTGGTGATCACATGCAATAGTTTAATAAAAATGGACAAATCAGACTAACCAGAAGAACAAAAACAATTGGTATTGGAAGGGAAAGGGGCAATCAACCAATGTACAACTTAACAAACACTTGAATTACTTGCAACAAGAAATATATAAATTTTTTATTTGACTTTGAAAGGAAAACTTCAAAATCTTGTACTCATTACCATCATTAGACCAAATTAAACGGTTCAGATTGATTGGCCAGTAAGTATTAACAGGTCAACTAGGCAAAGCAAACTATGTAAGACCAAGTCCAAATTGTATTACATGACCCTTTCGATAGTTTCAACTTTCAGCATACTTTGCCGTATCAGCCAGCTAAATCCAAACTCAAAATATTGTAAACAAAGACAATAGAGATTCCATTGTTATCTTTATGTGCTTTTCTTATATGCCGAATGGCACAATGCATCAACAAATACAATAGGCAATAGCTGTTGAAATGTCAAACTAGAACATATATACCAAACTTGTCTCAGAGTAACAACAAATAAGATGCAGACCCTTAATGAGGCCTCCCACACATGCTCTCAATGCTGTTCCAGCTGCACAGACCCATTTTTCAACTCTTCAACATCATCACACAACACAACACCACCAAAATTCAGGAACAGTTCTGCTGAGTGGCGCCACAGCTTTGCAGTCACAACAAAATCATCTATATTCCCAAGCACTCAATTCACCAACCATGAGTCTCTTCCATCATTTCATGAATCATTCAATGAGTTCACCAAAGTGTACCCTCAGTATTCTGAGACTGAACAAGTTGACCATGTTAGAGCCAAGGACTATTTCCACCTGTCACTCTCCAACCAAACTTGCCTTGATTACATTGGCATTGGCCTCTTCTCTTACTCTCAGCTTCAACACCATGACACATCAAAAGATCAGGTACCCTCCTCTTCAATTCCTCAAATACCCCAGCCACAACCTAATTATTACTCAGGTATTCCATTCTTTACCATATCCAGTAAGACTGGTAGCTTAAAGACTTTGTTGCTTCATGGGGGACAAGACTCAGAATTTGAGGCTGCAATGAGAAAGAGAATCATGAATTTCCTTAACATATCAGAAAATGATTATTTTATGGTTTTCACAGCAAACAGAACCTCAGCCTTCAAACTTGTGGCAGATTCATACCAATTCCAAACCAGTAGGAGGCTTATGACAGTTTATGACTATGAGAGCGAGGCGGCCGAAGCAATTATTAGTTCCTCAGAGAAGAGAGGAGCAAGGGCCATGTCAGCAGAGTTCTCATGGCCAAGGCTGAGGATTCAGACCAAAAAGTTGAGGAAGATGATTGAGAGTAGGAGAAAGAAGAAGAAAAGAAAAGGACTTTTTGTTTTCCCACTTAATTCAAGAGTGACAGGAGCAAGGTACCCTTATCTGTGGATGAGCATAGCACAGGAGAATGGATGGCATGTATTGGTTGATGCATGTGCATTGGGGCCAAAAGACATGGACTGCTTTGGCCTCTCTCTCTTTCAACCAGACTTTCTTATTTGCTCTTTCTACAAGGTCTTTGGGGAAAACCCTTCTGGATTTGGATGCCTTTTCATCAAGAAATCTGCCATATCCAGCTTGGAATCTTCCCCTTCAGCAGGAATTGTCAACCTTGTACCAGAAAAGCAGCCTCATCCATCATGGGATGATTCTTATGGCATCGACTTAGAACCTAAATACAAACCAACACCAACATGCCCAAATGAAGAGAAACCATTTCCTCCGTCATCTTTCTCAGGTCCATTGCAAACTAAACAATCTGAAATAGTTGAAGAGGGAGAACCAACTGACTCAAAACTAAAAGCTCCTCACTGTTCTGAAATTGAGGAGATACAAGAGCCAGTTAAGACCCTCAAGAAAAGTAACGTCCAAGAAAGTGGCATCCAATGCAGGTGCTTAGACCAAGTGGATTCTTTGGGATTGGTTCTCATCACTAACCGGTCAAGGTACCTCATAAACTGGCTGGTAAGCTCTATGTTGAAGCTTATGCATCCTAACACACAAGAGGTTCCTCTGGTCAAGATTTACGGTCCAAAGGTGAAATTTGATAGAGGGCCTGCTTTGGCCTTCAATATATTTGATTGGAAAGGTGAAAGGGTTGAACCTGCGCTTGTCCAGAAACTGGCTGATAGAAGCAACATCTCTATCAGCTATGCGTTCCTGCATCATATTTGGTTTGCAGATAAGTATACAGTAGAGAAGGGAAAAGTCCTACAAACCAAAGTGGTTGGAGGCCAAGGAGTGGTGACAACAACTAACAAAAACAAAGATAGAGTTGGAATCACGGTGATTACTGCTGCATTAGGCTTCCTGGCTAATTTTGAAGATGTCTATAAGCTTTGGGCTTTTGTTGCTAGATTCCTTGATGCTGATTTTGTGGAGAAAGAGAGGTGGAGATATATTGCCATCAATCAGAAAACAGTTGAAGTTTAGTTTATTCCGTTGAGTTTCATTTATTCTTCAGGATTGTGGGCCTTGGAAGAGTCCATAAAGTGTGAATTCTGCTTAAAACTTCATGTATATGGAAATTTCATTCTCCAAGGAAGAAAGGATTAATTACTTAAATTATTCATTCATTTGTATGATGAATTCATAAACTATGTGAATAATTCATTATGTAAAATATACTTTGATTCTTGTTTGGATTATGCCAGGTCCATAACTCTAGCAAACATTAAAGGTTATCTCCCTCGCCCCTCTCTTACAAATCTTACGAAAAGTTTCTCCTTAAACAAAATTTTTTAAAATAAAAGCATATTTTCACCAGAAGCTAGAATCACATCACACCATTTATTAACTATGCTTTCTTGATGGCTACCAACATTCATGTTTTCAACGGGAATTGATCTTAGAACATGGATCTCATTTAGACTTTGAGCTCCTCTTAAGTTGGCCTCTTACGGACATTTTCACTCCAATGGAGAAACCGGTTCTTAATGAGTCATTGTTAGAGATGATCTTTATTCATTTTATTTTATAACACATTTTTTATATATCATACATAATATGTATATCTAAGCAAAGAGAATAATTTTCAAAATAAATGTCATTAAATTTTAATTGAATATTAATTTTCTATTTATACTCTAATAACTTGAGGTGGATTTCTGTTAACAAATAATATTTATTATGAAATAATCTTTATTAAATAATTACTCTTTTCCATCTATTTATTAAGTTAAATAATTAAATAATACCCATATTTTCATAATCTATAACTTTATATTATAATCTAATTAAATTTATTCAATGTTGGATTAAAAATATACATCACATTAACTTTTTTGTCGAAATTTATTAAAAAATAAGTAACAACAAGATGATAATAAAAATATTATTTTTTATATATTATAAGAATTATATATTGCATCGATTATATATATGTATATGAATGAGGTATTACCATTTTTTTTAAAAAGCGATCTTTCTAAAAGTTAAAAAATTATGAGATAAATTTCCATTAAAAATTATTTTATAATGTAATTGATAATGATTTAAATATATTAAATAGTGTAATTTGATTCTGGTCTTTGCAATATTTCATTATTTTAAGTTCCTTAAAATAAATTTATTTTTTTATTTTTAGTATTTTGTGAAATATATGTTATTTATCTATCTTGAAATAAATATTGCGAATTAGAATTAGTAAAATCAAATTTTAGAAAGGTGCAAAATAAAGAAAAGAATTTAAAAAATCATACATTTTATAACACTCATAGCAATAATATTTAATTTTAGAGGAACTAAAAGATTTTTCTTTTTTGAAAAAAAATTGAAATACATTTATTTTAAATAACTACAAATATATTTAAGTCATTTATATTTTATGTTTGTTTGGAATTGTTAGATATTGTTTAGATATTATTTGATATTGTTAAGATATTGTTAGATATTGGTAACCACAATATCAAACAATATCTTCTGTTTATTTTGTTACTTTCAGTTACTCTTTTAGTTGTATCTCTCTACTATAAATAGACCACCCTATGTGTGATTTATATACAAGGATAATTAATTCCAAACCCTATTTTCTCTATATTCAATCCAGAGGAGACAGAGTAGTTGGCACTTGAGTAGAGTCACATAGTTGTGATTGGGCAGTGGAGAATAAGCTAACTGTAGAGCAGGAACTAATGGTGAAGAAGACACAGTTAGAGGGTCACAAACAACAGGAACATTAAATGTATTAGGAGTGTTGACAAGATTGGATGGAGACAGAGGTGAAGTTTGACTTTTAAAATAAAGAGACAACTCATCAAAGGTGACATCTTTTGACACAAAATAACGGTTAAGAGAAGGAGAAAAAAATTTGTATCCTTTTTGTGATCTTGTAAACCCTAAGAAAACACATTTATGTGATCTAGGAGAAAGCTTGTCAAGACCAGAACTGAAATTATGAACAAAACATGTAGACCCGAAAACTTTCAGAGGTAAAGGATGAAGTGGTTCATGAGGGAATAAAATGGAATGAGGTATTTTATTATCTAAAACCGAAGAAGGCATGCGATTAATGAGATAACATGCAGTAAGAAAAGCATCACCCCAAAAATGTTGAGGAACATCTCCATGAATTAAAAGTGTGCGAGTTGTTTCAATAAGATGTCTATTTTTACGTTCAACTACACCATTTTGTTGAGGTGTATAAGCACAAGAAGTTTGATGCAAAATACCGTAAGAAGCCATGAATTGTTTAAAAGAATGAGAAAGATATTCACGACCATTATCACTACGCAAAACTCTAATAGAAACACCGAACTGAGTTTGAATTTCATTAAAAAAAGTTTGAAAGATATGAAATAATTCAGAACGATTTTTCATCAAAAATAACCAAGTGCATCTGGAATAATCATCAATGAAAGTAACAAAGTATTGAAAACCTAAAGTAGACTTAACACGGCTAGGTCCCCAAATGTCAGAGTGAACCACGGCAAAAGGGGACGAAGCACCACGTGTGAAACTACGAGGAAAGGAAGTACGACTATGCTTGCCTAATTGACATGACTCACACGCCAAACTAGATAAGTTGGACAAGGCAGAGACACGTTTCTGTAACTTGGCAAGACTTGGATGACCTAACTGAGCATGAAGAAGAGAGGAAGACTCCATAATTGTACTAACATGTGTAGAGGGACGGAGATAATAAAGACCATGAGACTCACATCCTGTGTCAATCACCTGTTTCAAACTCCGGTCCTGTAAACACATAGAATTGTTGGTAAAAATAACAACACAATCAAGAGAACGAGTTAGACGACTGATGGATAACAGGTTAAAAGGAGACTCAGGGACATAAAGAACATTATCAATGGTTAAAGAAGGAAAAAGTTTAACCGTTCCAACACCATGAGATGATACTCTAGAGCCATCAGCCAGTGTAACAGAAGGTAAATGATTAGGAGAAGATAAAGAGGAGAACAAAGATTTGTTACCAATAATATGATCAGTGGCTCCCGAATAAAAAACCCAAGGACCAGGAGAAAATGATTGGGTTAGACCAGCAAAATATGTATTTGTATGTGTGACAGATATAGTGGAACTAGAAGACTGTTGATCCTTATACCATTCGAGAAATTTGTTGAACATAGCAGACATGTCGGATGCAACAGAAGAAGGAAGATCCCCTGCAGATAAAGGTGGGGAAAGATAGGTCTGAACAACTACAACAGATTGAGGAGGACGACCATGTAATGTATAACACTTGTTAATCTTGTGACCTAGCTTGCCACAATGTTCACACTTAGGACGCCCTTTTTCTTGTTTGCGAGGGCGAGCCCTATCATCACGATGGGATGTCAACACAAAAGAATCGTTAACAAAATTAGAAATAGTGAAAGAAGTCATGAAGAGCGGGAGAACAAAACCTAAAACAATCCAAAGTAATCCAATTAACCCACGAAGCACAAATCCAAAATGAGAATACTAAAAATAAGTTCGCCAAGAGTAAACGGCGCAGGAGACAATGGGACGACCAACTCCGATAGTGGTGATCTCAATGGCACGGTGGTCATCTGACCGAGACAAGCAAAATCATATGTCACCGGTAAAAAAAAAATGAAACTCCGGCGAATTCTCCGGCAGCGGCAAATCTGGTGACTGCTCTAGCGGCAGTGGTGACAGCAACGTGAACTAGTACACCAGGTAAGTTCTCAGGAAAGAGAGGTGGGTCACTAATGGACACACTTAAATACCAAGTCTTTCCTTGCCAGAATTTTCCTAAACATGCACTTTCACACTACCAAATAAAATTCAGTGACAAAGATAATTCTTTTCTGATGTGGAAGATCAGTTTAGCAGCGGTGGGGCGGCTCCAACAGTGGACAAAAGGCGGAAAAAAAATTCAAGATAACCTTAAGCTCTAGATACCATGTTGAATATAGAGAAAATAGGGTTTGAAATTAATTTCCCTTGTGTATAAATCACACATAGGGTGGTCTATTTATAGTAGAGAGATACAGTAGATTGAGGAGGACGACCATGTAATTAATAACACTTGTTAATCTTGTGACCTAGCTTGCCATAATGTTCACATTTAGGACGCCATTTTTCCTGTTTGCGAGGGTGAGCCCGGTCATCACGATGGGATGTCAACACAAAAGAATCGTTAACAAAATTGGAAATAGTGGAAGAAGTCATGAAGAGCGGGAGAACAAACCCTAAAATAATCCAATTAACCCACGAAGCACAAATCCAAAATGAGAATACTAAAAATAAGTTCGCCAAGACTAAACGGCGCAGGAGACAATGGGACGACCAACTCCGATAGTGGTGATTTGCAAGAAGAAATATATATGGAGCAACCTCCTGGGTTTGTTGCTCAGGGGGAGTCTTCTGGGATGGTATGTCGTCTTCGCAAATCCCTATATGACCTAAAACAGTCTCTTAGGGCTTGGTTTTGAAAGTTCAGCAAGGTTGTTCAACAATTTGGTATGACTCGGTGTGTAGGGGTGTCAAAGTGAGCCAACCCGGCTCACACGGGTTGGCTCACCACGGGTTGAGCTGAAAATAGATGAGCTTAACCCGGCTCACTTTTTGGTGAGCCAGAAATTTTACAACCCGGCTCAACCCACCACGGGTTGGTGGGTTAGGTGGGTTGGCTCACTAACCCATATTTTTTTTAAAATAATATAAATATAATATATATATATATATATATATATATATATATATTTCCAAACTTCGGATGTAGAAACTTTTGCTTTTTTCCTTTTTTCTCAACATCGGTATCTTCATTATTAACTGAAATTGGCTCATTGGGTTTTTCATTAACAATAAAATCATCATCGACACAATTCACATCGACACTTTGATGCATTGTTTCGATTCCATACTTGTAAATTAATTTGAAAGAAAGAAGTCAAAAATTCATATATTAAAGAGATATACGTATAAATCAATAACAAACAACAAATAATGTATAGATGCTACAGTGGGTA